CTAACCTAACCTAACCTAACATTATACGCTCAGATTAAATAGAAGAAATATTCAGAATTAATTGCAGAAAATAGGCAAATAAATTCCGAGAATACAAGAAAGCCTTCAATAAAATTGCCACCCATCGAACTTTGTTCTTTTGATGGCGAGTTAGATTCGTGGCTTTTATTTTTTTTAAACGTTTAAAACATTAATTTACGACAGCGAAACTTAATGGCAAAGCTTTATCAATTTGTCAAGGTATTATTCCTTCCGCTGAAAATTATTCTGTAATTTGGAATACTTTAATTAATAAATATAACGATAGAAAGGATTTAGCTTCGTCATATTTAGATGAAATATTTAAATTACCTAATTACAAAGATATGAATTTAGAAGAATTTATAGACACAATTTAAATTATGCGCATATTATTTAGCTTTAAAACAATTAAAATTTAATAATTTAGAAGATTTTATATTCATTTATATAGCTTGTAAAAAGTTAAATGTTGATATTGTACGGAAATTTGAGCTTCATTACGATAGTAGTAGGTCGGAACCTAAATGTACGGATTTTTTTTTCCTTCGTTCGAGAACATTCTCATACTTTACTTCGAGCAGCTTCTGTAGCCCTACCCTCTTTTAGCGGCGGTAAATCTAAGCAAGCGCTGACTCGATCTAAGAAGAGAAATTTTAATAGTAAAACAAATTTATATTATAATTCATTAACGTATACTTTCGTTAACGTTTCAATAAAAATCATTTATTAATAAATAATTGGCCAATATTTTTAAATAAATCTTCTCAAGAGAGATATAGTATTGTTAAATCTAATAAACGATGCATTAATTGCTTAAGTCGCGAACATACGATTATTAACTGTAATAGTTCGGCTCGTAGTTCTGAATGCGGAAAAAGTCATAACACTTTACTTCATTTTAATTCTAATAAAAATGTCGAGTTAGGGTCACCCGAAAATAAAAGTTACCCAAACACTTGCACTATCTTTAGTGATTTATTGCGGATTTCACTCGAACGCCAAGACAATTTAAGTCCAAACTGTTTGTCTTGCTATAAACCTTTTTCCTCTCCGATACCAACAATACGGGTAGTATACATCAACCAAAGGCACTTGTTGTCAAACACGAAACAGCTGATTTCAATATAGTCTCTTATCTCACACAAAACAACGAGTTACGTGTTACTAACACTCACTACAAAAATATAAGCTGTATAAAGCTACATTATGCACTTTGCTTATAGAATAACTAGCTGTGCCGGCGACTTCGTCCGCGTGGAATAGTGACTTGCTTGAATATATATGAAATATAGAGATGAAAAATTTCCCCCGTTTTATTCACATTTCTCGCTGTATCTTCCTCGATAATTGCTCTAACCAACACAACAATTATTTTAATTCGAACCCGAACTTCCTGAGATAGGCGCGTTCAAACAAACAAACTTTGGAAAACATTAATATTGTTTACATGTTATTGCACACGAAGGCACCATATAATTTAAAAGTCGAAAATAAATTGAAAAAATTTTCGACTTGGGCAGGACTTGAACCGGCATCGTCAGCGTTGCCCAGAGCAACAGCACGGAGGATTTCTAGTAGTATAGAAAAATCTTAATTTAAACCTTAAGTTTATTTTAGTTCTAGAGAAGAAAGCCACATAAATAAGATTAGCTGATTTAGAAGGTTCGGTTTAATATATCTATCACTTTGCACAGCTAAACACAATTTTTAAACGTTTATTTTTCTTAAGAAATTATAGCGCCTGATTAAATTAATATAGCAAAAGTGCATGTAATCGAATTTGCTTTGTGAATTTGTTGCTTTCTAGTAGTATAGAAAAATCTTAATTTAAACCTTAAGTTTATTTTAGTTCTAGAGAAGAAAGCTACATAATTAAGATTAGCTGTTTTAGAAAAATCGGTTTGATATAACACTTTTGACAGCTAAACACAATTTTTAAACGATGTTTGTTCTTAAGAAATTATTGCGCCTGATAAAAATATATAGCAACAGAATCTCGATTACTCTTCGAGCTAGCTATCAGACTCGGCTTGCAGCATTTTTTCGAACTTTGACTTACTGCTTTTGGGCAACCTTTATGCAAGTGAAAATTACAGTCTTTGCTTCGAACGCCATCTGGAGCAATCGCAAAGAACTTCGCATACATAGTGCATTTTTTTGATGGATTGGGCATGTCAGTAGAATTCGTATCCAAATTCAAAAGTTAATCACCAGATGGCGCTATTATATGCTTTTTGTTAGACTTACTACGCTCAAGAAAATTACCCAAACACATTCGCACTATCTTTAGTGATTTTTTGCGGATTTCACTCGAACGCCAAGATAATTTAAGTTTTTTAACCCTTTTTTCTCTCCTATACTAACAATACGGGTAGTACACATCAACCAAAGGCACTTGTTGTCAAACACGAAACAGCTAATTTCAATATAGTCTCTTATCTCACACAAAACAACAAGTTACGTGTTACTAACACTCACT